AATGTTGGATTGTATACCTGGATTATTGAGCATGGACTTTGTTGTTTTCAACTAGTTTGACACGACTGTCAACAAGGAAGAGGGCCGGCAATGGAGGAGGGGGCGTACCAAAGAGACCATCTTAGCACCAACGTGACTGGTTTGTTATACTTTGGAGTAAGCTATTGGAGGAAGAATCAGTTTTGTTGTGTGTTTCCTTGACTAATGAAGCCTTCCGGATCAAGGCGAAACGTTTCAGCACAAAAAAACCCCCCAAAAAACCCCGAAACTGTCCAGATGACCTGACTTAAAAATGTTGGATCTCTGAACATCCACTGGTAATTCTTTTTATTTAAAACTAAGAAAAAAGTTTCTTAAAATTAATCATTAGTTTATCTGTGAACTTCTGAAATGGTAACTTGATACGACCACGAGATGTATCAAATGTACGTTTTTTTTTCATTGCACTTGAACTCAGCATTACGTCAGCAGTAGCGCGGCTGCCATTTTGTTCCAGTTTTGGTGAGGCTTGGAAATTAACCGTTTTGGGACGTCGTCTTCTGTGTTTCTAAATTTAAAACAACCTAGAAAAAAGTCTTAGTAGATATTTTTACTTAACTATTATGTCAGGAATTCATTGTGTTTTTATCGTTACGCCACGGAAGTGAATACGACGGTAATTACTACACAAACTGCCATCTTAACGTTTACCGGAAGGCCTTGGCCTGTAGGTAGCCACATCATGCTAACATTTCTGCAAACTTACTCCCTTTGTTTGTTTTTAGTGGTTTTTAACATCCAGCCTCGTTAATTAGCATAAGCATTATTTTCTTGTCGTTATAGGTTTATATTTGTGTACATATTGTTTTTTCATCACTGCTGGGAATCGCGAGTAGTTTTTGTTCCAGCTAGCTTTAAGCAACATTATTTTACAGTAAGTATACAATTGCTTTCTTTACGGTCTTTATCTTAAACTTCAACTCTCCATCGATGTTATTGTAAGAAAACTGAATGGTTCATTTGAATGAATATTTTGTCTTTGTTTATATTAGTGACTAATCTTGTGCAGTCGTTTTACTTCGAGAATCGATAGCTTTGGGATCTTTCACCTATTTGGATTATTAGTTTATTGACGTCACCAACATGGAAACTAGAGTTGTTCAAGCTGACCTTCACTCTAACAGCGTAAAGCTTTCTGTCTTTATGAACCAGTCTGGACCCGGACTCCAAAATCCTTATCGGGATCAGATAGCTGAGAAATGTGAATATGGGTGTAATACACTGAGCAAAGTAGTAAACAAAGTCTGCCTTTATGAATCTGTCTGCAGATCACTCAAGTTACACATCAGCTGTCTGTTGGTCCATATTTATAAAGCATATAGTTCATCAGCACATCTCCAGCCATGTGTTATGAATCTTTCGGTCAGCTTTCTTTACACTTTAAGGCCAGATATGAGCACAAATTAAAGGTTTGTGTCTAAACAGACTGCCAGGACCAACAGCATGGTGAAACAGTCCCAGAGACAAGAATGTAGATCTTTACAGATAAAACGATTGTTTTTGGCTTGTTGAAATGTTTTGCTGTGTTTGTGTTGTCCTTCTGTCTTTATTAACCCACTTTCAGTTTTTGGGTAGTGTTTGTCATTGATCTGTAGGTATAAACCCACCCTCTCTGCCTGTTCTGGGAGTCCCCGGATATGGATAGTTTGTCCTTATGAGAAGCTGTGGCAGAAGATTTTTCCTTTCAGCAGTGTTAAACAGCTGAAAATCACTAGAAGCCCACTCCCAGTTACCCTGCCCTGTTTTTTCCACTACTACCCAAATGCCACCAAGTCCAAGACGAAGTTGAAGATTTTTTTTCCACACATCTTCTCACGTTTTGGCTCTTCATTTAAGCATTTTTTTTTTCTTGTCTGGCTGATTATGTTCCTCTTTTATTTATTTTATTATTCACACCAGTTGTAAAAAACAAACACAACAACAACAACAAAGGACTATTGCATCCAATATGAGTATTATAGCAGTCCGATGGAGATAAAGATGTCTCAGTGAGTCTCAGAAAAAGACCAATTTCTCTGGGCGATCCACCCCACTTTTCCTCTTATCTCACGGATCAAGTGTTCCTTCAGGACTCCATACTCTCGCGGAGACACCCCACCAGCTGTGACAGACATCGTCTTATCCACCTCAGGTAAACGCTATAGACATTACGTGAACTGGCTGGTTTATTAATCTCAGAACAATTGACATAATTCATGTTTCTTCAGTTTTACTTATGCAATCACAAAAGAAACATTCATAAGTGTTTCCCCTAGATTATTTGCCATGGCGGGGCGCTTATCTCGTCTGTGATTTTTGTCCGGGGGGGAACGAACGGAGAAACGTCCTATGCTGCGCAGCACGCTGTTTAAACCAACAGTTTTAGAGGGGGGGTGGGGGACACGGAGACAGCGGCGCACTGTTTGCGCCGACAATTTTAGGGTGCATTCACACCAGCCCTGTTTAGTCCGCTTTAATTGAACTCTAGCTCGTTTTCCTAGGAAGTCCGGTTCGTTTAGGGAGGTGTGAGCGCGCCATCGAACTCTGTCACAGAACAAAAAGGCGAATTCTGGCCCGGGCTAAAACCTAGGTCTCGGAAGAGAACTTCAGCGCGGTTCGAGTACAGTGTGAATGTAAACAGACCGAGCCCGCGCCACAAGCAAGAAGTGGAGTACAGTGCAGGGCAAACAAACATTTATCTTATATGGAGCCGTCAGCTGCCTTGTGTGAAAAACAACATTCTCCATGGTCTTCTGTCTCATCTTCTGCTCATGCTGAGTCCATTTTTGAAAAATGACAAAATATAACTCCTAAAACTGCTAAAACTTGATGCCACTTCGTTTTTGTTTTTATTTCCAGAAGAAGAAGAAGACGTGTCTTCAGAGGTTTTTGTGTCGTTTCTTTCAGTAGTTCTTGGTGCAGCGCCCCCCACAGGCAAGCGGGGGAGCAGGTTGGTTCAACAGGTTGACTCGACTGCACAGTGCAGTGTGAATGCAAACGCACCAGCTCAAATGTAACAAAATGTCATGAATATTAGTCCCCAACCGAGTCTACCGGACTATCAGCTGTGAAAACAACCTTAGTTTTAGAGCAGGGTGTATGAGAGGGGAGAGACAGACACACATCTCAGCCGTGCGCTGTCTGAACCAAGGGGGGGGGTGGGGGGACAGACACATCTGAGCTGTGTTCTGTTAGTACCGACAGTTTTCGAGTGCCAGGGCTGCGTTCAGCGTGGGGGTTCAGCGTGAGGGAAGAGGCTGCCTTTAGCTTTTTAGCTAGCACACCTGCATTGCGAGCTGCTAGTTTAGCGTTACGTCAGTGCCGACAGGTGGTTGCGATTGAGGGTGGGGTTCGGTAGACGGTGCACTCGGTTCTGTTGACGGGGTGGGGCGCCCCGCTTGTATAATGGTAGGGGAAACGCTGCTTAAGTTTAATGTATTGGTTGTGTCTAATGTGATTCTGTGTCTTCAGGGCGAGTCCTGTTGTCCCTGAAGACGACTATCCAACAGGTCACTGCCATCATTTAGTCCACAACCAGCTATGACCAACCATGGAGATGACTGCTACTTTTATTACTATTCCACCTGCACTAAGGTAAGCCTCTTTTTAATCGCAGACTGCTTCTGAGTCAAACACACCCACACTGCATTTATTTTGAACCACTGATTGTTTGATTCTGCCTGACAGGGTGACAACTGTCCATTCAGACACTGTGAGGCAGCCATGGGCAACGAGATTGTCTGTAACCTCTGGCAGGAAGGATGCTGCTTCCGCCCGCTCTGCAAGTTTCGCCACATGGAGATCACAGTAAGTTAACCTCCTAGGACCTGGCATCTACATATACAAGAGTTCAAGTCTGAGGAGGTTAGATTTTAAACACAACTGTCTCGAAAACAAGGGTGGGCTGTGTACCCTCAAATCATATCACAATATCTCAAGGAAGTATGCAATAATATTTAAAATAA